CCTACCCCCCCCCCGCCCCCGGCAGCGGGAGGCCCCTGGATTGTCTCCGCTGTAATCGGCTTTGGTGTCTTCACCTGCCAGGCCCCGTGGCCGTGTTGAAAGGTGCCCAGGTCTCCCAGGGCTGGGGCTGTGAGGGATCAGAGTCCCCGAGTGCTGCCCAGAGCCACAGGCGAGAGATGGGCCCTGCCCAGGCAGCTGCCCGGAGCCAGTGAGAGACGGGCCCTGCCCAGCTGTGACCAGGGCCCCGTCGCGCTGCCCAGACAAGGGAGGTACGGTCCCTGCCCCGGGGGGCTGTGTAGCCTTAGCCCTGCTTCCATGCAAAACGGTCCATACGGTGCACGAGCTCCAGCTCCAGGCACAAGCCCCCCCTCGGCGGTGCTAGGGGCAGCCCCCCCTCCGCAGTGGTTCCTGCCAGAGTCTCATGGAGAAAACCCAACTTGCCTGTCCCAGGTATCCCTTTTTAGTACAGTGACGGGGGCAAATTGAGGGGGGAGTTGGGGGGAGATCTCAGGGGGGCTTAGAGGAGCGGGTGGGAAGACGGGGGGATCCCCAGTGTGTGCAGGGGGAGGGGAGAGACCTCAAGAGGGGCCGGGGAGCCCCAGGAGGGCTGAAAGGGGGGGAGCAGGAGGGGCATGGGACCCTGGGTTCAACAGGCTCTCTGGGTCGATGTGCCGCCTACCCCAGTCTGCCTCCGCCATATCACCAGCGGCCGTCGCTTTTCTCAGACTCTTCGGGCAGTCAGTCGTGCATTTTAAGGTCGCCCATTTAGGGCAGGGGTGAGCAACGGCCCCTGGATCCGGCTTCCCTCTCACCCAGCTCCCATGCCCCAAGCCTGCTTCCTGGCAGCCCCCTCCCGCACACTGAACCCCTCCTGTCTGGCCCCACTCCAGAGCCTGGGGGGCCCACAAAACCTCCTAGCCCGGGCCCCCTAGGCTCTGGCGTGCGAGGGGAACGTGGGACGTGTTTTTCTCCTGCTCAGCCAGGGGCCACGTCAGCACACTGGGCTTTTTTCATTTTCCTTCTCACTCGTGTGCGGCCCCTGACC